ACCCCGGGAGTGTCTGACTCCAGAGCCAGACTGTGCTGTCCTTCCTCTCCCAACACCTGTCTCCCCGGAAGCCTAGAAGCCTCTGGGCATTGGAATCCACTGCACCTTCTCCCTCAAGGGCCAGCTCTCTGCACCCCAACAGGGCGGGCAGGGTAAGCACCGGGGAGCTTCCAGTGGATGCTGTGTGACCTGAAGACCAACTCCAGAGATTCATAGGGGCACCTGGAGGGAGGGGACAGCAGATAGGGCTGAGCTCATGAGACTGCAGAGTCCTTGCTCCCAGGGGCATTCATAGGCGCCCCATAAACACACACTGGATGAATGAGAAATGGCTTGTCACTGCCCATGTGACCCCCTAGAACAATGCATGGGGACTCAATCATGGAAATTATATATACTCCATGGCAGACCCAGAAAAGAGAATATGATCTAGCCATCAAAACACTCCTATTTTCAGAGCATTTTAAGATACAGGAAAAAACAATTTTTCAATAGTGTTAGGTTAAAATAAAAATTGCGATCCAATCCTAAGTATATAATATTATTTCAATTTTGTACTATTTAGATTTAATATATATAGAAACAGATGCAAAAGATAAAACAGGAATATCTTAACAGCAGCCATCCTTTGAGATGAGACCAAGGACCAGTTTTGATTGCATCTTTATGTTCCTTTGTATTTCTCTGATTTCTCCCAACTCTCTGTCATGAGCATAGAGTACTTTAAATTAGAAAAAGCCACTGTAACATAAACGCAAGTGGAAGGGGGCTCGGCTGGACTGCAAGGCTGATGCCACCTCACTTTCCTGATGACGCATCCATTTGGGAACCCATTCCTAACCCAGCTTGCCCCTCCTTCGTCCTAGGCTGCAGGACAGACAGACAGACCTGCCTGGCATGCCGAGTCCCAGGGGACAGCTGTGTGCATTAGGACCCGTAGTTTCAATCCAGGCCCTAGGGTGTTCCGGAATTCCACAGCTGTGCCTTGGGACCTGACGCTTCAAAGAGCAATTTTAATTGAAATGGTAATGATGAAATTTCTTCTCCCTAAGATGATCTGTGCATAGCAAACACTGCGTCCCCTTGCCTGGAAGCTGCCCCGTAGGAAACGGTGGGACATAAATCCTTGCTAATGAGAGCCGGCCCCTGCCTGGGACCCTCCAGCTCCTGTCTGCAGACACCAAGCTGCCGTCAGAACCAAAGCCCTGGCCAAGGTGCCTTTTTTTGGACACACCTGCAGGGTATGTCATGCTGGCTGCACCAGAAGTGACTCCCGCATCTGAGTACCAGCGAGGAAGCTGTTCTCCACGAAACCTGGCACCATCCACCCACCTCCAAGAAACTCAGCCAAGAGATTTTTATGGTGGGGATGGGGCTGACCGCATTTTCAGTTTTCCCCCTGGGAAATCTGTGGTTGGTGCTGCCTCTTGAGGGGCCTCAGAGCCTCGGGGCTGAAAGGACAGGCAGGAAGGGGGGACCCCAGGCCCACTCCTCTGCCTCCGGGGCCTCCGAGGCGGGAGGTCTGCAGGAATTCACCACAGAGGCTCCTTCACTGCCTCAAAGGGTGAGAGTTCAGGGCAAGGAACCTAAAGCAAAGAGAGGCTAGTAGGAGGGCCACATGCCGCCAGCAGACGTCCCAACAGAGATTGGAGACCTCCCTTGGAAAAATCTCACGGCTCCTCTGAGATGTGTGAGCTCTAGGCCCTGTCTGTGCTTTCCTGGCAGAGGGAGTGTGGATACAAAGGACAGGGGGCTCCAGCCTTTAGCTTCCCCTTAGAATACTCCCTGCAGAGAGCATCCCTCAGAGGGGACCAGGGAATGTCCCTGAGTGGGCACCTAGGGTGGGGTCAGGTCTGTCCTCCAGGGACTTTTGAACTTAACAACCCCATAAGACATCTTCCCGGGAAGCCTTCTGCGCCTCTCTACACAATTAAACTCCTGAGTCACTCCCACATTCACCCAGTCTGAGAAGGAAACTTCCACACTCCCCATGCTGCCTGGTGCCTCAGTGCTGGCTGGGCTGAGACTGCTGTCCTGATAAGACAGAAGACTCCAGGGATCCCTTGCAGCCTGGGGAAAAGGAGGGGGCCCATCAGCTCCCAAAGGGAGATTTTGGCCACATTGGTACCACATGGCTGAAAATTCCTGTCCCATGCCTCAGTTTACCCACTGGGCATTTAAAGCTTCTGTAGTGGGCCTGGCCTATAGGAAACATTCAATAGATGGGAGCCTCAAAGATGGCCATCACCAGCCTAAAGCTGCTCATGCTCTAGCAGCATGTCACACACATACTCCAGGCAGCCCTACATGCTTTCATGTATTCATTCAATGAACAGGTGGCGGGCTCATCCTGTGCCTGGCTCTATGCCAGGTGACAGCAGTGAGAAAGGGCAGACATGGCCTGGCTCCCACAGAGGGACCCTGGAATTTTAGGGACCCCCTTCTCCAGCACCCTCATTCCCTCCGTGGCTCCTTCCTGTCTTCCCACATCCTGAGAACCCCACTCAGAGCCCAGGGGTAGGACTGCAGTGCGGGAAGACTTCTCTGCCTCTAGGTTCTAACCCACGGGATTCCTGAAGGGAGCCCTCAGCACAGTGACAGATCACTGATGGAGGACCGCTCACGGGTAAGGAGATGTGCCAGTGACCCCAAGATAAATCATGGGAGCAGCCGTCTGGTGCGGGTCAGGAGACCAGGGCTCTAGCCTTGACATGGCTGATGATTACACTGAGGCCCTCATCATGCCCCTTCTCTGAGCCTCAGTTTTACCACCTATCAAATGAGAGGCTGTGCTGGACAGATGGACACTTGGCCCCTTCCAGGTCAGACCCTCTGAAAGCCAGACAGGCAGATGGGGGCAGGGTTTCTCCCAGGAGTTCAAGGAGAAGCACTCCAAGAAGGTGAGCCACCAAGAGTGGTGTCCGAGATTTATTTCTTAAGCAGAATCCCTTTTATAATTCCTCTATGAAGATGAGTGGCTCTCTGCATTCCAAGCTGTGCCAGGCTGTCCCATCCATCAGCCAGCCGTGCTGCACCAGTGCGACCCAGCACTAATTCACAGGAGGGGAGCTTAGGGTGGCCGCTCCTCAGGGCCATCCATCAAGGCTCCCTCCTGTACCAGAGCTCTCAGCAGCTGGCGGGTACCACATCAGTGGCAGAAGGCCCGAGTGACAAATGGCCCACAGACCACACCCCATCCCACACCCCCCCAAGCCCCTTAGAGCTGGGCTTGACAGGACGCCATCCCACCTGTGGCTCTCCAGCTGTCTCCGACACTGAGGACTGGACTGTGGACTCCAGGTCTGCGTGGAGCCAGGTAAGAACACACCTGCACATCCACGGGGCTGTCAGGAAGCAGGTGAGGCTGGAGCCGAGAGCACAGGAGAGAGCAGGAGAAGAGGGAAGAGAAGACAGAGTGCATCGTGGCAGGTCTGCCAGAACCTCAGAAGGATCTGGCTTTTGCTCCCAGGGAGATGGGACACCACTGGAGGTTTCTGAGCTGAGGAATGATATGATCTGATTGATATTTTAGAAGGTTGCTCTGAGCACTGCACAGAACACTCCACTGCTGGGAAGTCAGGGAGGAGGCGCAGCAGAACCCACGTGACAGGTAGGGTGATATAGACAGAGAGGCAGCACCGTCTTTTGGAGGCAGTGCTGGTCACGTGTGCTGAATGACAGGCCACGGAGTTCCCGAGGAGGGACAGGGTGGCTCCCAGGTGCCAGCCTAAGGAGAAAGGTGGCATTTGTTGTGAGGGAAAAGGCATGAGAGGACAGGTATGAAGAATGTCAAGTGTGGTTGATATGGTCTGGATCTGCATCATCATCAGATCTCACATCGAGTTATAATCTCCAGTGCTGGAGGTGGGGCCTGGTGGGAGGCGACTGGATCATGGGGCAGAAGTCTCACCAGGTCCTGGTGAGGCTGAAGATGGTTGAAGTCCAGGTATGAGAGGGGTCGGCTGGATAGACAGGAGTTTGTAGTTGGCATGTGAGAATGCTTAAATCCTGTATTATGGGGAGACATTGCAATTATTGGTAAGATAAGGTCCAGGTTTCAAAGTGGGAGTAACTGTTTGAGGTAAGGTTCATTTATCTATTGCCGTATAACAAGCCACTCCAAAACTTAGTGGCTTTAAAACGACAAGTCATTACTGTGTTTCACAATTCACAATTCTGTGGGGTGACTGGCTCAGTGAGGCTGTTCTCACCTGGATCTCTTCGGTGATTACAGCATATAATGATGGGGGTTGAAATCAACCAGAGGCCAACATGTTGGCATCCAAGAGGCTCACTCTTACGGCTGGCAGTTGACGGTGGCTGGCAGTTAGGGGCTCAGCTGGAGCTGCTACTGATGTGCCCACACTCGGCCTCTCCATGAGGCCTGGGCTTCTCAGGAAATAGCAGCAAGTTTCTAAGGAGAGAGCATTCCAGAAGACCCAAGCAGAAGTTTCTTGGCTTCTTATAGTCTAGCTGTGAAGGTCTCGGAACACCACTTCCACCATTTTTATCTTGGCCAAGAAAGTCAGTGAGCTCACCCCAGATTGAAGGGAGTGGGATTAGGCCCCACGTCTTCATGCACAGAGTGTACAATGGAAGGAATGAGTGGTGGCCATCTCTGCAGACACGGTCTTCCTCTGACTCTCCCTTCCTTGAGCTGACAGTCAAGGTGCTGTATAACAATGTCCTTACTATTCCTAGAGGCTACCTGAGAAGGTCTGTGAGGCATGCCTTTAAATATTTCTGAGGTTTTGACAAAGGGCCACATTTTTCGCTTACCTTGAAGCTGTTTCTTATTTTGAGAATCCTCCTTTGAGAGTCTTGCCAGCTAGAAAGAACGTTCATCTCTCTATACTGATTCCTTACTAGACGTGGCAAAAATAAACCAGTGTTCACTTTCAACATCCTATGTGGAATCTTCTAAGCTATGCCAGCCTAAAATAATCAAAAGGCCAGAATCTAGTTTAAAGAGAGTTTATTCAAAAACAAAGTTTGAGGATGCCCCATGCAGGAAACACAGATTCTGAAGAATGACAATCAGCGTTCTGAAGTGTAGACATTTGGGATCATTTATATAAACAAAGTTTAGGGAAGCTTAACAGAATTTCAACATCTTTCTAAATAAAGCTTACTGCGTAGTTGAAATGATCTCATTTGCCAAGGTGGTCTTTTTCTTTCGGGAAGGCTGTATTTATCTCTCCACACTGACAATGTAACAGTCATGGGGTCTTTTGCACCATCTGGTCTGAGTCAGGTACAGGACAATAAAGTGGCTGTTAATCTATAACAAAGATCGGTGATTGGAATGGGAGTTGGAGGGAGGTGTGGCCTCTAGTCTCTCCTCTTCATTTATAAACCTAGAACAATGAGGAAGAAACTTAAGTTATAATCTAAGAAACAAAATTGCAAATAGGCTACTGGCTCAGTATCCAGAGCTTGCCTTCCCCTTGGCATAATCAATTTAGGGGGTTCTGAAATTTTGTTTTATTTCACAGCCAAGTCCACCAGTTCATCAGGTATATTTTCTATTTTTCAGGTGCCAACGTTGTCAGACTTTTCCATAGTACACAGCAGTGATCTCCTGCAGCCTCTGATAACAATTTCCTCACTGTTTTCCAAGCCTTGCCTCACAGTTCCTTGGGCCCTCTCCAGCTTCTACCTGCTGGAGGTGTTAGAGGTTTGTGGAGGCAATGGGATGAATCTAGAAGAGTACTAAAGAGACAGGACTGAAGTATAGCGTGATCATGAGCAGAAGAGTCCCAAACCCAGTTCCACGTTTTAGGGTTTTGTTGCAGCAGCACTCCACTTCCAGCTGCCAACTTCTGTTCTGATTCTCTATTGCTGAATGGCAAACCAAGCAAAACCCTAGTGGCTTAAAACTACTTAGTATTATCTTTCACGTTTCTGTGGGTTGACTGGGCTCAACTGGGTGGGTCTTGCTTAGGATTTCTCATATGCTACTGATCAGAGAGCAACTGGGATTGGTTTCATCTGAAGGCTCAACTGTGTTGGATGCCCCACATGGCAGCTGTGGATGCTGCTGGCTGGGAGCTCAGCTGCAGATGCAACAGAAGGGTCCTCGCTGGGTCTCTCCATGAGGATTGAGTTTCTCCCAGAATGATGGAGGCTGTCTTCTGAGAAGGAGCATCCTGCTTTCTATCCTGAGAAGGAGCCTCCTGTTCATCAAGCAAATCACTGGGACTGGGATTCAAGGAGAAGGGAATTTAACCTCACTTCCCAATGTGAAGGAGAGCATGCTTATCCAGACAGAGAAGCAATGGATGATGGCATCTGTGGAGACCCTGCCTCAGATAGGATGGAGGAAAGGTCATTGGATGAGGGGAGCCCAAGGAACTGAGAGGCTGGGGTGCTAAAAGGAATATCTACATGGATATTGAATACAGTAAAAATGAAGGGAAGCAGTAGTGTTGGTGACAGCAGACAGAACTTCCTTAAAGGATACATGGAGTGACCTTGGGGTTGGTAGATCTCTGCAACAAGGACCAGGAGGGCCAGATGAGGGTCAAAGCTGAAACCCTAGGTGAGGAGGCAGAAGGATGGTCAGGAGAAGAGAATGCCTGTCTCTAGGCCTGTGTCCTGTGGCAGAGGAAAGAATCCTCATTTGTGGGAGAGATGGGGGAAGGTTAGGGCTAGGTTTGGGTTAGTATATAAGAGAGCATTATGAGAAGTGACAAGCACACAAGGAACTTTGCAACAATCGACCTTGGGTTCTGGGGCACTGGGGAAAGGTGAGAGAAGGCATCAGGGAAGGAGTAGACAGGAGATTCCTGACCCTCCTGTAGTCATGGGCATGAGCAGGGATAAGGAGCAGAGTGAGATTAGTCTCTTGGTTTCAGGGAAGCTGATGGTGGAGAGATAGTGAGTGTTCAGAGGAAGGGAGAAACAGAGTTTTGTTCAGAAGACTGGGCTTTTCTTTGCTCTTTTGGAGGGTGGTGTAAATCCAGGAAAGAGGTGGCCTCGTGCAGGAGCTTTCTCTCCTCTTGTTCAGCAATGCTTTCTTGTGTTATTCCACTGTGGCCCATGCTTGCTTGCCTCAGCTGCCCAGTGAGATGTTAAGCTTCCCCTGCCACCCTCATAAGACAAGCTGAATGTCTTATGAGCAGGCACAGCAGAAGCGTCAGCTGGATGGATGTGTCCCTGGAATGCCCTCAGTGAGTTCCGCTGGGAAGCAGACCTCTTTGTGAACTATGGGATGTTCCCGGGAATAGAAGCTTATGCCAACGTTGAAAAATGGAATCTATTGAAAGAAAGACCAACCAATCTTGTTAATAATCCCATTCAGAGACAAGCATTCTGCAAGTCTCTTTGCTATCTGGTTCCAAAGCTCATGGGGTTTCGAGGAAAGAAAACTCTGTCTCTGAGAATGATGGCAGCAGGTGGACGCACTGGATGTTTGGCATAGTTCAGGACAACATCTAGACGTTTCTCCCTCTCCTGGGTGTGTCATCATGTTTAAAGGATGGGATCCATGGTGCCACCAAGTTCTCTAAACTCCCATCTCTAGAGAAAGACACATGGGGGTAGAGCATCTTGCTGACCATAAAGGATGGTTGGTCCTTATGGTCAAGAGTACAGATGCCCTGAGTCATTCCCAGCTCAGTGCCATTTCCCATGTGTCTGACTTTGGACCAGGACCTTAGCATCCATGCCTCGGTTTCTTAACCTGAAGAATGGGGGTGTGATGGTAGCACCAGCCTCAAGGGTGTTGTGAGTTAATATTTGTGAAATGTTTAGCTTCAGAGTGTTATAGACTGAATATTTATATCTCCCCAAAATTCACAGGTTGAAGCTGCACCCCTTCAATGTAATAGTATTAGGAGGTGGAGTCTTTGGGAGGTAAATAGTTAATTAGGTAATTAGATGGTGTTGTGAGGGTGGAGCCCCCAAGGTGAGACTAGTGCTCTTATAAAAAGATAAAATGTCCAGAGCTTGCTCTCCACCGCATGAGAACACAGTAGAAAGGCGGCCACCCGAAACCCAGGAAGGGAGCCCTCACCAGGAATCAAATCAACTGGAGATTTCATCTTGGACTTGGCTCAAAACTGTGAGAAGAAAGTATCTGTTGTTTGAGCAGCCCGCGGTGTGGTATTTTGTTTTGGCAGCCTAAGCTGATGAAAACAGAAAGGTTTGTGACAGTAACTAGCTGAGGAAATCAGCCAAGGAAAGGTGACATTTGATAGGGTAGGGGACCCAGGATTGTTGAGCTCGGGGCTGATCCCAAAACAGGGACACAGCCTGTAGGGGGGTGCTGGTGGAGTTCTTGAGAGGGTCCCCAGGTATCTGGTCTGGCAGAATCCGCACCAGCATCCCTGCATCCACCTGCTGCAGAAATTGCCAAAAAATCTCCCAGGATCTTTGTTCTTGGATCATAGCTAATCCACATTCTTTCTTTAGGAAATAAATTCAGGAAGAATTTCTCTTTGTTTTTGAACTTGTCAAAATTAGGAATGACTCCACTCTTTGACCTAGGACTTTCTTTGGGTTATTTGTTTTAACCACACAGCAAAATCCCTTCATTAAACAGGTGGTTATTGAGTGACCACTATGCACCAGGCACTTTTGCAGGCTTGAAGATACAGCCCAAGACACCAAGACAAGCTCCCTCCCTTCAAAAGAGAAACAGAAAATTAATACATAAATAAACAATTGCCATCAGCCATTTCAGGGAAAGGTTCTCATTGGGAAGAGACAAGGTTGAGTTAGAGAAAGGAGCTGGCTGGAGGGGCCCCTTTCTATAAGAGGCTGAGACAGGGCTCTGGGAAGAGGGGGCTTTTGCAAAGAGTTGAGGAAGAGTGTGTTTGTTTGTCTGTGTTTGTCTGTCTGTTTGTTTGTTATGGAGTCTCGATCTTGTTGCCCAGGCGTGCAACTGAAGCAATCTCAGCTTACTGCAACCTCCGCCCCCCAGGTTCAAGCAGTTCTCCTGCCTCAGCCTCCCGAGTAGCTGGGATTACAGGCATGCACCACCACACCCAGCTAATGTTTTGTATTTAGTAGAGAAAAGCTTTCACCATGCTGATCAGGCTGATGCCGACCCCTGACCTCAAGTGATCCACCCTCCTCAGCCTGCCAAAGTGCTAGGATTACAGGCATGAGCCACGGCACCCAGCCAGGGGAAGGGTGTTTTAGGCAGAGGAAGCTACCAGGCATTGCACCTTTGCTGCAACCTTATTGACTCCCAAGATGACACTGGGTAGCGCTGGGACATTCCCTGCTCTGCCTCCAGGCTTCTCCAAAGGGGGTCTTGACATCTAAGCAATCCTGGAGCTGCTCCCTGAGGCAAAGCAACTGGAGAGAGGGTTTCCTGCCATGCAAAATTCCACCCCCACAGAGGGTGGGACCCTGCTTCCAGGAAGGTGGTCCTCTGTGCCTGACATCCTGGTGTCACTCACTCCGATATCAAGGGGCAATGTGGCCTCTGTCTTGGAATAGAAACAGAACCACATCTAGCAAGAGTCTTTATGGTCTGGCAATCTTACTGCTGGTTATATATCCAAAGAAAATAATATCAGTGTGTCAAAAAGTTATCTCCACTCCCATGTTTGTTGCAGTACTATTTACAATAGCCAAGATATAGAATCAACCTAAGTTTCAGCCAATGAATGAATGGATAAAGAAAATGTGATATATTTACACGAATGGAATAAAATTTAGCCATAAAAAGAACAAAATTCTGTCACTTTGGTAACATGGATGAACCTAGAAGACATCATGTTAAGTGAAATAAGCCAGTCACAGAAAGACAAACGCCACGTGACCCCACTCATAGGTAGAATCTGAAAAAGTTGATTTCATAGAGAGTAGAATAAGCATTAGCAGGGGCTGAGAAGAGTAGGAGGGAGGGATCACAAGGTACAAGCTACACTGAAATAGGAGAAATAAATTATAGTGTTCCACTGCACAGTAAGATAACAATCGCTAACAAAAATATACTATATATTTTAAAATAGATACAAGAGAAGACTTTGAATGTTCTTACTAATTCAGGGCAGGCAAGCCCCAAAGTGGGGCTTAGCCCATGAGGGTTCTTGGCTTTGCCTAGGAAGGGCAAGCTGGTGGTAAAAGAAAGCAACTTTATTGAAGAGGTGTAACAGTGTTACAGCTCTGACCACTCCAGCAGAGCAGGGCTGCTCCACAGGCAGTGTGCTAAAAGTGGCAGCTCAGGGCAGTTTTTGCAGTCATATTTATGCCTACTTTTATTTTGTTTTATTTTTATTTTTTGAGACAGCGTCCCCCTTTGTCAGCCAGGCTGGAGTATATTGGCATGATCACAGCTCACTGCAGCCTTGACCTCCCAGGCTCAAGTGACCCTCTGACCTCAGCCTCCTAAGTAGCCGGG